TGTGCTTTAGTGGATGGCTGTGTCATCTGAGAGCTTAATAACTTAATAATAAAGTTATCTGAACTCTGACTCTGCTGGGAACATGTTAGTCACTTTCTGTCTGTTACTGATTCAATAAATCTTTATATTTGTTATATTTGATGTTTTATTTTAGGAGACTGGAGAAACCAGCATCTAACCTCAGTACACCCACAGTTTAATTAATATTAATATTACTGAATTAATATCACCTGGAGTCTGTCAGACAGACACATCTGAGATATTTTTATATATTTCACCTATTTAATAAACATTATATTCAACACAAAAACAAATAATCTGAGAGCAGATTGATTAATGACATTAATCAACTGTAAAAATTCACTTTTCAAAAATCTGTTTATTTAATAAACAATCAAAAAGACATTAAAACTATAAATGTCAAATAACTGCTGAAAACAATCAAACATAACAGAGTTCCACAAGTGTCCCAGAATAATAAAAAAAGCAAATAATTCATAATAAATAATTTTACATTGAGAATCAAACAGCCGACGGGAAATGTCTGATTAAAATCTGTTAATTTAATTAGTAAATCCAGTTATTTGTCTTATAAAAAGTGAATTTCTAAATATATTTGTAAATTTCATTATTAATTAAGGAATTCATTTTATATTATTCACTTATTGGTTATTTTTGTAAATCCATTTTTAATTTGAAAAGTTTATTGATGGATACATTATTTTTATAATTCCTCTTTTTAGTGCAAATTAAAACATGAATTAACTGAGCAAACAGAAAATAAACAAACAAACAAACTGAAGTTGCTGCTCAGAGCTGGAAAGTGTTTCCGGTTTCCTGGTTATTGATTCTGTAACGAGCTGATCAGCTCCACACAGACATTCAATCACTCAGAAATATCCTGTAGTTTGATTAATAAAGAGGGAATTTCCTTCCAAACTATCACAATTAATATTGATTAAGTAGATGTCAACATACACAGATAATCAGTCTGCAGTATAAAGACTCATTGTTGTTGTTTGTTGACTCAACAGCGACAGCAGAATAAACATTAATGACAATCAGTGTTTGAAACTCTGTTTAGACTGTTAATAAAATAAATTCACTATCTGACGACACATCATTTAAAATCAAGTGTTGAAGAGGATGTTTTTATGTTTCTGGTCTAATAGAAACTGTCCATAAAGAACTACAGTAATGAGCTCATTTTGTAGTCCAACTCTGAAGTTAACATCGTCCTGGTTCTTTCAACAAAAAGATAATCAGATTTTATATTATTGCAGAGATTATGGTGAATAAAGGTTTATGATGTTTATGTAACACTTTGTTTTCCTTTATTTGCTCCTGCAGAAGATAATAAAGCACATTATTTACCTCCTGCTCTTTATATTCCCTCAGTAATATAAAACAACACATTATTTACCTCCTGCTCTTTTTTCTGCTCCTAAACAAACAAAAATAACAATATTTATACAGAAAATAGAAATTAAAACATCTAAAAACTTAAATATTAACGTTCAAAATGTAACAAAAAGCCTGGTTAGCACAATAATATCAACAACAAACAATAAAAGATTACAACATTTTAATTAGTAAACAGTGAAACAGCATTTTTAATATAAACCATCATAATCATATTATTTGTATAATAATTAGTTTATTTTCTTTAATGTGACTCACTTTGAGTTTTAACTGTTCAATAGAAATAAACTTTATTAAGTCTCATTGTTCAACACACTCTGCCTCTTTCTGAAGTGTTGCTGCCGGCAGCTGTGGCTCCGGTGGAAGAGCGGATCGTCCGGTAATCAGAGGGTCGTATGTTCGATTCCCAGCTTGGGTCCAGTGGACGTGTCCTTGGGAAAGAAACTGAAGCTCAAATTACTTCCTGTGTTGGGTGTAAATATATGAAAGTGCTGCTGAGCTCCCTGAGACAGAGTTACTGTCCGTTGTACTAACGAGGAGACTAATATTTATTATTCTGACATATTAAATATTCACAAAGTTTCTCTTTATAATTAATAAACTGCCTCATTAAGATGATATGTGCAGAATACTGTTTGACCACCAGGTGGCGCTGTTTGCTCTGGAGTTTTACTGCTGTGGGTCAGTAGAGATACAATCAGATCACTTTATTGATCACACACAGGATCAATAGATAAATTCACTGACAACAGAATAATACACATTGAATAAAAAACACAAGATAATAAAAAAGTTGTTTGTACATTTTATACAGTTATTGATACAGATGTGATTGATTTGGATATATTGATATATTGATTTAGATATATTGATAGGGCAAAAAATAAATCCAGTTTAAGTTTCTCAGGTAGGAATTTTATTTTACTTCCATCATATTATTTATTTATCGGACGTCTGGGACAGAAAATAAAACTTAATTTTGTGCTTCGAGAGAGAATATTTGATTATAAAGTGAAATTATTTACATTAAAAACAGGAAGTTTTCACACAAACTGAAGCCGATTAAAGTTAAAATCATTATCAGCCTTTAGAAAACAGAAACATTAATTATTATCTACAATAACAGGATTATAAAATATGAGTTAGTTCAAGTTTGTGTTGTAATTCTGTTTGTCTTCATTATGTTGTTTAAAGTCAGCTGGGACACATTTGTTATTTCACATTATATAAATCTGAATGTTTGATCAATAATACGATTCAATCAGAATTTATTAACTCGACTTCAATAAAGTTGTTAAAGAGAAATTACAGTTAAATAAAGTTATTGTGATATTTCCTGTAACGGTTCAAAGTCACATTAATGTTATATTTACATTTAGATAGATACTTTATTTATCTTTATCTTTATTTATTTACATCATGTTTCAATACATTTAATATATTGACATTCAAACTCTAATAAATACTTTAACTCTTAAAGAAACACTTAAATAAATGTTTAGATTTAACACTAAATGACATTAACTGTAATTGATCTCCTCAGAACCCCTAACAGACCCGGTCCTGGACCTCCTGCAGTCCTACAGAACCAACAGGTCTCTGCCAGGATCCTGTTTGTGGACTCGAGCTCTGCTCCAGGACCAGCTCTCCCAGCTCGCTGTACCTGAGTCCGCCTGCAGGTGGATCACAGACTTCCTGTCTGACAGCAGGTGAAGCTGGAGGAACATGGTCTCTGACTCCTGGACCATCAGCACCGGATCCTTCATCAGCGCTCTTCCTCCTCTCATCTTCTTCCTGTTCACCAACAGCTGCACCTCATCAGTCCGTCAGGATCCTGAAGCTCACGGAGGACAGCTCCCTCATTGGGCTCCTCTCTGGTGGAGATGGACCATCTGGTGACCCGGTGCAGCCAGAACCACCTGGAGCTCAGCGGTCTGAAGACTGTGGAGACGGTTGTGGACTTCAGGAAGTCTATCAGGACCAAATCCTCACGCCACAATAAATATTCTCTCACTCTTTATATTTGTATATAGAAGCTCCTCCTTTTTATTGTCTCTACTTTTATATTTATTTATATTTTTGTATCTTGTTTGTGATTCTTTTGCATCCAAGTACAAATTATATAATAATTCCTCTTCAAGTGAAGAACTATTTTGTATAAATACCTGATGTTTCTCTTGATTCTGTATATAAAACTTTTAAGAAAGTAGAAAAATATCACTTAAAAACAACATTTTACTGTATTTTATTATATTGTATTGTAATATATCAGTTATATTAATATTGATACATTATAGTAAATATTATTACTAATAATTATGTATTCTTCAGTTATCAATATTATAACATTACTATACTTAAATATACTTTATAGTTATAATAATAATATATTCCTGCTGTATAATAGAGACATGTGCTATTGTTCAGCAGGTTTAATCTACAGTCTGAGTATTTATCTGGTTATTGACGACCGCTGGCTCCTGATCAGTCACTGTAGTGTCGGATCAATGAACAGCTGCTGTGTTTTACTGACATTTAAAATGAGATAAAATCACTGAATCATCGGATTGTTTAATATAATTATTGTGCTGCAGTCATTAGTGCTAAAAAGTATAATAATCAGTTGAACTTTGACTCTTTTATTGATCACAACTCAACTACAACAACTGTTAAACTTCAACTTTAAACTTCAATTTAAAGACTTTTATTGTAACAAAGCCAATATTGTTTGTTTTAAAATGATCAGACATTATAAACTAATACTGAATCTACACATTATTTTAGTTCCTGTTCACTGCAGTTACTTTATTATGTGTTAAAGCAGTTTAATAAAGTCCTGTGAACAGAGTGTCAGTAAAGGTTGTAAACATGATTTAATAATAATGAACGGAGGAATATATGAGAGTCTGTACAAAGTGATATTAATGTGCAGCAGATTGAAGTGATTCAGGTGCAGCAGGAGACAGAAATGTAACTGAATTGAAAGGTTGAATCAGAGGATTATTAACATATTAAACTGTGTTATCAGTGTCTTCACGTTCAGTGGGACATTTGGTGGAAACTGGAGTTTTTCTCCCGGCGGATCCGTCAGTGACAGGAGTCCGAGAACCGCCTGAGTCACCGGCGGCTCCCGTGTGTTTACCTCCGCAGGAAACTTCTCTGATTCAGAGCAAATAAATCCGTCCACCGCCGCGATTTCACTCTTATTGTCTGCTCACACGTCTCTGCTCACTGTAACACCACCGGGACATTTACAAACCGACCGATTTTATACATTTTAGGAGCCGAAACGTGAAGACAGACTGCGAGTTGCACAAAGTGACTGTGTGTTACGGAGGTTTGAAGCCTCCTGGAAGTAAATCAGCGAGTCCTCGGCGCCAAACCAGAAGCGGAGTGCGAAGGGACGGGCGTTTTCTCCCAGAAACAACAACCGCTGTGACCTCAAACGTTTCTCTCGCTGAATTTTATCCCCAAAATGTGGAGGAGAAAACACAAAGTGTCGCCGCACGAGAGCAGGACGGCGGCGCGGCGGCGCGGGTTGACTCTCCACGGTTCTCATGTGCTTTATAAGTCCCGCCTCCTGCTCTCAGCTCGGACACCTTCACACAAACACAGCAGAGACGAACAGACATGGCAGAAGAAGCTCCAGCAGCCGCCCCGGCCAAAGCCCCGGCCAAGGCCCCGAAGAAGAAGTCGGCTCCCCGTCCCAAGAAGGATGGACCCACCCTCCCGAAGCTGATCATCAGCGCCGTGACCGAGTCCAAGGAGCGCAAGGGGCTGTCACTGGCGGGGCTGAAGAAGGTCCTGGCTGGCAAAGGCGTCGATGTGGCCAAAGCCAACAAGCGCATCAACACCGCCGTGACCAAGCTGGTGACCAAAGGCACCCTGACCCAGACCTCCGGGACCGGCGCCTCCGGGTCCTTCAAGCTCGCCAAGAAGGAGACCAAAGCCGCCAAACCCGCGAAGAAAGTGGTGAAGAAGAAGGCCCCCGTTAAAGCCAAGAAGCCCGCAGCGAAGAAAACCGCCGCCAAGAAAGCGACACCCAAGAAAGTGGCGCCCAAAAAGTCCCCGAAGAAGGCCCCGGCCAAGAAAGCTGCCAAGAAGGCGCCGGTGAAGAAGAGTCCCAAGAAGGCTCCCGCCAAGAAGGTGGTGAAGAAGACCGCTCCGAAGAAGAGTCCGGCCAAGAAAGCTCCGGCAAAGAAAGCAGCTCCCAAGAAGACCAAGAAGTAAAGCGGTTCAGTCCTGCACTCAGTGCACCAACGGCTCTTTTAAGAGCCACCACAGCTTCTACTGAACTGCAGCTCCTACATGCTTCACTGCTTACACTTTATACAACCGCAGGTTATTATTTATTAGAGCTTCAGTCATATTCACAGCTGTTGTTATCGGCTCAATATGTGGTTATAATTATTGTCCTGTTTTACAGTTTAGTCATCAAGTATCAGAATAATGTTGATGAGAAGAATCTTCAGTCACTCTACAAATAACATGAAGTTCATTTATTTAAGATGAATTATTCTTCTGTAGCACTCCTCCCAAATTAGGATTTCAGTTTTATATATAACTTTTATATTATAGAATATATTTTTGTTAAGGTGCTTTTTTTTTTCATGTTTTCTAAACATTTACTTTACACAACTATTTTAAATGGTCAGAATGAAATAAAATACAAAAATGTACGGTTTGTTGTTAACCTGCTGTACTTTCGAGATTCTTTTACATATAAATATATTTATGTATTTCTATATTTATAGTAGTTGTACGTTTATTACTTTTGTAACTTTTTTTTTAACATATTTTATCTAAAAAGGTTATTTTCAGGGGCGGATCTAGAGGAGTTGGGTCGGGGGGGCCACTGCCCTAAAGTGTCTGGACACCCCAGTTTGGTGTCAGATTGAAGACGTCATTAAACTTAACGTCCAACATCATTAACAGGTCATTAAATGTGTCAATGGATGTTTTTTAACACTTTTATTGAATTTGAAATTGAATATATTGAAAAATAAAAATTAATTGATATGTCTGCTCCTTACAGTCAACATATCTTCCTCTGAATGTTATTTTACAGACCTCAATTATTTATTGTTACAATAAAAAGCACATTTTGATCATTATTGTGACGTTGATGTTTTGTTAATGCATAAATAAATCTGTTCAAAATCTAGACAAGATTGTATTTATTAAATTATTTGGGCCCATTGTGGATTATTTTCACTTTAAAATAAACTTTATTGAAGTTTTTCAAGACAACATTACAACATTTAAGTGCAACCACTGCCAAAAGTGCATTAATGTATATATAATATAATTATGTGAATTCATAATGATTATTTTCACCCTTTCTGTAATTGATCATTTATTAAGATAAGATAAGATATTCCTTTATTTGTCCCACAATGGGGAAATTCCAATGTTGCAGCATCAAATTGGATAGAGAAAAAGAAACAGTATACAAACAGTAAGAGTAGGAAAAAATAATAAATAAAAAACACTATGTACAAGAGAAAGAAAAAAGTAAGAATCTACAACAGCAACAG